AACCCAACCCTACCCGACCCTATTTAATCGGGTGTTTGATTTTTTAAAATATTCATGGGTTAAACATGATTGAACCCGCATCTAATGGGTAGGGTTGCGGAATTAAAATCTCCAAGCCGATAGTACCCGATCCAGCCGAAGTTCATTTTACTATTATTATGCTACAATGTTTTCTTGGATAATTTCAATTTAAGACCAATGTGCTCTATCTAAGACTATGATATTAGAATTATAATTAAATATTTACCATTTTGACTAATTGATTATTATATATTTATGTTTCCTTTTAAATGATCTTCCTTTACGGAAGGATGTTTTAATACTATTATCTAATGTTTTTGCTTATAAAAGATATGAGTACCTGTATTTGTTTGTATGTTTTGAAAACAAGTTAATCGATTTTTAAATTGGTTACATTAATCTCCCACATAAAGATGCAACCCGAAGTGGTTTTTTTTTTCAATACCCGACCCTACCCGACCCGTTCATGCATGGTTTACCAACTTATTTTGCATATCACGGGTTGAATAATAGCCAACCCGAACAAATCGGGTAGGCCCAAAAAATATAACAAACCCGACCCAACCCGCCCGACGTGCAGCCCTAGTGAGACCCACGTGAATACTCCAAGTCACAGCCGCAGAAGTGAGCATACCCGTAGAGTTCCGTCGTGGCATAGAGATTATGACTTCCAATTACACACGGTTAAAATAAACTCTCACCCCGTCGTTAAACCCGCTCCTACGGCCGAATCGGGTACTCCTTATTCAATATCTCATTATATAAAATATGATCACTTTTCGGTTTCGCACCGGGCTTTTCTTGCAGCTATTTCCATGACGAAGGAACCAACCAGTTTTGCCGAAGCTGTCCGTGATCTGCGATGGAGGGAAGCCATGAGCCGTGAAATCCAGGCGCTGGAGTGCGCTGGCACATGGAAGATACAGAACTTGCCGCCGGGGAAGAGAGCCATTTTTTGCAAATGGGTATATAAAGTCAAATACAAAAGTGATGGATCCGTGGATCGTTTTAAGGCACATCTTGTTGTTTGCGGGAATAGAAAGGTGCAGGGCATTGATTACGATGAAACTTTTGCTCCGGTTGCTAAAATGGTAACCGTACGTACCATTTTGGCAGTCGCACCATCTTGCCATTGGAAGATACATCAAATGGATGTAGATAACGCCTTTCTTCATGATGACCTTCACGAGGAAGTCTATATGTAACTACCCCAGGGATACTCTGGGTCTTCACCTGGCAAGGTGTGCCGGTTACTATGCTCTCTTTATGGACTACGCCAGGCCCCACAGTGCTGGTTCTCTAAACTTACTACATCATTAAAGAAATATGAGTTTACACAGTCACATGCGGACTATTCCCTATTCACCATGCGTCGGGGACAGAAAATTATTTGTGTGCTTATTTATGTTGATGACATGTTAATTACGGGCAATGATCATACCATGATCGAAAAATTTAAAGTCTATTTGGAAGCCACATTTCCTATCAAGGATTTGGGTGTCATGAAATATTTTCTGGGCATCGAAATTGCGTGGAACCCCACCGGCATTTTTCTTTGTCAACGAAAATATGTGCTAGATATATTGACGGAGACCGGGATGTTGGGATGCAAACCGGTAGCATTTCCTATGGTACAAAATCATCACTTGCAGTCGGATTCTATCCCCCCTTTTCCTGATCCAGAACGTATAGGAGGTTGGTGGGAAAACTCATTTATCTGACACTGAGCAGGTCGGACATTTTTTACTCTGTTCACATACTCTCACAGTTCATGCAAAGTCCGAGACAGGCACATTGGGAGGCCGTGCTTCGGGTACTTAAATATCTAAAGGGACGGCCTGGCCAGGGTATTTTGCTTCGAACTGACTCATCTCTCTCTCTCACCGGTTTTTGTGACACCGATTGGGCGAGTTGTCCAATAACTCGTCGATCCGTCACCAGTTATTTTGTATCCTTGGGCTCGTCCCCGGTATCATGGAAGACCAAAAAGCAAACCACTGTTTCACGGTCTTCTGCAGAAGCCGAACACCGGTCTATGGCCTCTTTAACGTGTGAACTCATTTGGCTACGTTCTTTGCTTCGGTCATTGGGTGTCACCAATTCTGGCCCGACTCACCTCTATTGTGACAATCAAGCACCACTACACACCGCTTCCAATCCGGTCTATCATGAACGTACTAAACATATAGAGCTCGATTGTCATTTTATTCGTGATCATATACAGGTTGGGACTATTGCTCCGGACTACACCTCTACTTCCGAACAGCCTGCGGACCTACTTACCAAAGCCCTTGGAGCTCAACAATTTTCTTATTTGCTCGGCAAGACGGGCATTTGCGACCCTCATGCTCCATCTTGAGGGGGGGTGTTACGCCACATCACTTATTATTCTTTGTTATGTACATATATTTTCACTGTAACATGTTATTGCACGTAGTCATAGCATTAGTTTAGGAAAGATTTTAGTTTTATTTTCTTTCCTTTTTCCTTGCATGGAAAGTGCGTAGTAGATAGTTTTATTTTCTTTCCTTTTCCTTTGTATCGATATCTCTGCCCACAAAATAATTATTTCTAGACACGTTACATTTAATGAATCTGTCTTCCCACTCCAACCTTCACCAAAACCGACACCCAAACCCACCAACTCGACTACCCATCTCAAATTCTCAATCCCCTCGTACACACCCAACCAGAATTATTTGCATGGCCTTCTACTCCTGCCATGAATACGTCAAACACACCTCCTCCCTCTCGGGTTCCCCGGCCGGTCCGCCAAATGCTCAACACCATTCGCTCGGTCCCACCCCTATACATAACACCCCCTCGGTCACATCATCACCTACTTCCCCTCTCACGTCCAGTCCACTACAACCAACTGCCAACCCACCCAGCCCACCACCTCTAGGCTTATGGGTCACCTTATGCTAACCCGCGCCAAAGCCAGCATCTTTAAACCAAAGCAGCCCCTCAACCTCTCGGCCTTAACCACTTCCCCACTTCCCAAATCACCTATTTCTGCCCTCCATGATCCATTGTGGGAAGCCGCCATGATGATGAATTTAGTGCGCTTATTAAAAATGAAACGTGGGAGTTGGTTCCCTGACCCCCCGAAACTAATGTTGTTCGTTGTATGTTGTCACGCTCCGGACCTATCCGGACACGTCAACAACCCGCCATACAATACGAATAGTCAACCGCAGTCTAACACATCCATATTATATAAGGCATCTCGAATATCATTCACACATAAGTCATCCATAAACATATATAATAAGCAATTCAATACGCAGTAGAAAACATAGTTTAAAAACAAATGCCACATGGGGCAAACATGAGCACGCATGCTCTATAGTGAAAAGTATCCATGAGCATGTTTTATAAATGTTCAAAACAGAATGGAGGAAGCACGAACCAAGTCTTCACTCCCTGATGATCGCCCGAGCAACGAGCACAGGTAGCAAGCTCTATCCTCAACCTGAAATGGTGGTGGGACACCCCTCAAGGGGTCAACACTCTATAGGGCTATAAAGTGCTGGTGTGGATGGCATCTAATAGATATACAACCAGTATTTCAAACACAAGACCCTCAAATAGGGTGATAATATAATCTAGGCCGTAACCCCAAGTTACCCCTTTTCAAAAATATACTTACTTTATATATAAAGTCAAGTAGTCGGCCCGTAGGCCCAAATTTTATTTACAAAACATAACCCGAACCCCGTGACCCCTAGTCATGACAGTACATAGGGTTCAACCCTAACACATATGTTTGCATTTCTCGAGTCCAACTCGACTACATCACCATGCACCTTATATAATACAAGTTAATTACTCCACCGTGCATTTCTCGAGTCCAACTCGACTACATCACCATGCACCTTATATAACACAAGTTAATTACTCCACCGTGCATTTCTCGAGTCCAACTCGACCATATCACCATGCACATCATAGGCTACAGCCTCATATCTCCCATGCATTTCTTGAGTCCAACTCAACTACATCACCATGCATGTCATCAATCACCTTGTCATGTCTACCCAATGCAATTCTAGAGCACGAGCTCAAGTACATCTCCTTACATTGGCATAGAGCCCAAATTCCTAAGCACACGCTATGCCTAGAATTTGTAATATCAATAATCTAAATTGGGACATCCTTACGGACTGCCTCATCATGATCTTACATCATATTACATCAATTTTAGTTACTTTCATCACAATCATGTACGTCAATTATAATCAAATCCTTAGATTCAATTCCTTAACAATTGCAACAATCATTAATTAGTATTTCAATACTATTAAGATTATTCTTATCCATCATATATTCCGTTTGTAAATCCCTACATATTTAGAGATATGAAACAGCAACTTAATCATCCAATGTAATACATAAATAATCATTTATGTATCTACACAATTCACACATGAGTAAAAATGCCTAGTTCACACAATAGTTCATTTAACTCCATTTTTATCAATATGATTTCCAAATCATTTGTAATTTCATTCCTTATCTAATATATCAATATTTCATCAATAATAAGTCATTATAATCTATGAAAAACATGATGTAGACATTTAGGTAATCTCATGTTTAACCTACAAGTTGTAAGCAACTAGATGTCGATCCTCACCTCAAATGAGCTTTAATTTGTTCCTTCTCAACCCAATGCCCAAGCTTCGGCCAAGGAGGTTTGAGAATTGATTCCTTTTTTATAAATGAGCTTTAAACATCCTCCTAAATGTGCTAGATCAACTCCTATCCGAAGACACGAAAACAGTCCCTAGAACGGGTGTTTTCCGGCGAATTCGCTCCCTAACCTTTCAAGGTTTTGTCTAGGTTAGTATCTAACCTTTCCAACAATTAAAGTTGCTTTATAATAAAAATTTATACACTTCAACCAGTGCATAATAGTTCTTCAATCATTTGTATGATTTAGACAATAGAGAGGAGAGTTTTGGATTAAAACTTACTTTGAATACAAAATCATATTCTGTGAGGTTGCGTTTTGTTCGGACGATTTGGAGGCCTTAAACTGCTCCGTTTTCTTCAAACCGCACGTCTATGGATTCCTCCTCTCGATATATTTAAATTGGAACCTCACACGACCTTTTTGGATGAGTAAAAATCCAGATACGAGTCGAACAAGAAGACCTACGCACTGGATGACTAATCCTGCGGACAGCCCTCTCTCTTGCCTTTCTTTGGTTGTGAGACTCTCTCCTTCTCCCTTATCTTCAAGAGTCCGTATGGGAGTTAGGGGGAGGTGTCTGTGACCCCTCAAATAAGTTGTGTAGGTTGTGTGGAGTGAAATGAATTGATATGGACTTCCATGAGATATTTTAGACATGGGTGAGTCTCACCTTTGATTTCTTTTGTCATGTGCAGCCCCCCCAAGCCTATTATGTCCGACCCAAATAAGTTTTCTAACTTATTATCCTTATTTTTCAGGTGTTAGGAAGGTGTGGGGCGCCCTCTTATGTCCCCCAATTAATTTTGGGGCAAAATATCTACCAATACTTCCAAAAGTGGAAAGATGTGTCTTATTGTTTTTGTCCTTTGTCATAAGATGTACCTTTTGTACTCTCCCCAACTATTTAGATCAAGTCAACCTTCTACATCATATTATTGATCTCTAATATGTGTAGGATGGTCCCAATAGTTTATGTGATGTAATTATAAAAGAAAACCTCACTCCCATTATTTAGCCTAATAATGCCAAAGATGGGATCATATGCATTTGTATTCTTCTCCAATCACTCTATCACTTATTTATGATATTAATATTCATATAGCTGGGCTACTAACCGTGTGGGTCACCCTCCAGTGGGTCTAGGACACCATTCTTGGATAATTGCTATTTTTAGCAGGTTAGGCCCAAAATAACATTTGGGCTGCCCGACCGCTCTTACTTTGTACCGAGGGATTGTATATTTTTATTTAATAATGTTGGGCCCCAATACCAATAAGATGGCCCAATTAATTATTTAGAAGTCCATTACTATTATACGAGCCCAAACAGTAATATGATTAATCATACGTTACGTAAAACTTTAATCGTTTTACAATTGTTCGATAATAGGGAAATCCAATACATAAGCTTTGAAATTTAATTTGAATTTCAAGGACATTCGGGTGCGGTGTCACATATGTGGTTGTTTAATCATAAATTCAGGTATAATGGCTCCCTTGAACGTCACAAAGCTAGGCTCGTGGTAAATGGCAACTCCCAGCAGGTCGGTGTTGACAGTGACAAAATGTTTAGTCCGGTTGTAAAACCGGCAACTATCAGTACCGTGCTCAGTCTTGCTCTATCTAACTCCTGGCCATCACATCAACTCGATGTAAAAAACGATTTCCTTCACGGCCAGCTGGAAGAAACGGTCTACATGCATCAACCATCGGGCTACCGTGATTCAGCTCATCCGCATCATGTCTGCCGCCTACTGAAATCTTTATATGACCTAAAGCAAGCTCCAAGGGCTTGGTATCACCGTTTTTCTCTGTATGTTGTCACTCTTGGGTTCGTACATAGCAAGTGTGACCATTCCCTATGTATTCTTCGTTCACAGCACGGGACGACTTACATCCTGCTCTACGTGGATGACATCATACTTACAGCTTCCTCGGACAACCTTCACAGCACTATTGTTTCTCACTTGCACCAAGAATTTGCTATGACGGACCTCGGACCTCTATCTTATTTTCTGGGGATATCGGTTACTCCATGCATGGGCGGGCTATTTTTATCTCAACAACAATATGCCCGTGATATTATATCCCGCGCCGGCATGGAAACTTGCAACCTCATCTCTACTCCCGTAGACACCCAAACAAAACTGAGAGCCAATGCGGGTCTGCCCGTTCCCGACCCTACCTTGTACCGTCGGCTAGCCGGCGCACTTCGATATCTCACCTTCACCAGGCCGGACATCTCCTATGTTGTCCAACAAATATGCTTGTTCATGCATGATCCTTGGGTCCCACATCTTAATGCACTAAAACACATCATCTAGTACATCCGCGACACTACTCACCTTGGCATGCATCTCAATCGGTCACCACCGACCTCTCTCACGGCTTATATGGACGCCGATTGGGGCAGCTGCCCGGACACCCGTCGGTCTACTTCGGGATATTGTGTCTTCCTCGGCGAGAACATTTTATTTTGATCTTCCAAACGACAGCCTACAATTGCTCGGTCTAGTGCCGAGGCCGAGTACCGTGGGGTGGCTAACGTGGTAGCCAAAATATGTTGGCTTCAGAATCTATTATTAGAAGTTCACTGCTCCATACCAAAGGCCTCACTAATTTATTGTGACAACGTCAATACAATCTAGATGGCTGGAAACCCGGTACAACATCAACGGACAAAGCACATCAAGATAGACATTCAAGTTGTGCGGGAGAAAGTTGCCCGCGGGGAGGTCAAAGTTCTTCATGTCCCTTCCCGCCACCAATTTGCAGATATATTCACAAAAGACCTACCCCGTAAACTTTTTGAAGATTTCCGGTCCAGTCTTCACATCCAGCCACACGATGTTTTGACTGCGGGGGCGAATTAACGTATCGCATGCATAAGCATGCATACGTACGTTACACACTCATATATGGCCAGCACTTCAAATATCCCATTTTACCATATTTACATTATTCTCCATACTTATTTCATTTAATGTTAATTATCTCATTACCTATTTTAGCTTAGCCGCAGGTCTCCTTTACTTGACCATATTGTACTTTAAATAACACTTTGAATTTGAATGGAAGACAAGCATTGACAATCTATCTTTAACCAACCGCAAAGCAAAAACAGTATATGATATGATTATGGTTGAAATTATGTAAACATCAGTTAGCCACTAATTGAAAATTTATTTAAATGCTTATGGTATAATAATAATAATAATAATAATAATAATAATAATAATAATAGTAATAATAATAATAATAATCATAATCATAATCATAATCATAATCATAACCATAACCATAATCATAATCATAATCATAATAATAATAATAATAATCATAATCATAATCATAATCATAATCATAATAATAATAATAATAATAATAATAATAATAATAATAATAATAATAATAATAATAATAATAATAATAATAATAATGATCATAATCATGATCATCATCATGATCATAATCATGATCATAATCATGATCATCATCATGATCATAATCATGATCATAATCATGTTACGTTCTCCCCATTCCCTACTGTTGCGGTGAGATGATATTTGTGCTCATGCTTCCCAATCCAACAATCCTAGGTGGAATATTTTACGGAGCATATAATCCATATATAGTACGTGTTGCTCTATATAGCTCTACGTATTTCAAAATTATAGTACGTGTTATAGCTCTATACGGTGTTGCAGAGAGCTTTCTAGCGAGGGCTCAACGTATTTCTTAATTTAATTAGTTTTTAAATCTTTTATAGTGTATATTATTATTATTATTATCATGCACAATTGCACAAATAAATAAGCATATTGATATTGCAAAAAAAGAAGATAAATGAGCATATCGAGTGAGTAATAAACTTTACAACAAAAAAATTGTTATGGTTTATTGGTTAACCGTTACTCCGTTAGTGGTTAACCTAAATATTGGTTAACCAGCACCCGGTTAACCAATGTTATGGTACGTGTAACGGTATATAAAATTTAGTAACCAATAAGACGGTTAACAGAAAATTGGTTAACAGAAATGTACTGTGATTAACCGACCATGCCCACCCCTACCCGCGCTTGTATGTTCCGGTGCGATTTGTCTCCCTCAGTGTGTTCAGGGATGTAATCACTATCTTCACTTAATTAGGAGGTTATGTCTGCCTTCTTATTAGCCGTGTAGACTGGCAGATGCATGAAAATTGTATTTGACTCTACATATTCCTTCAAATGTTCGGAAAGAAGCAGGAAGATGAATTTGTTTTTCACCAATAATATATGGATCTTTTTCTTTGTAATTACCGGTTGGTGAATTTGTTGGAAGTGGTATTCATTTGGTCATTATAGACTTATATTTGTCCGCTTGGTGATTAGTGAGTAAATATATTTTTTAGTTGATTATTGACTTTATGTCTAACCCTAGAGATTGTGATCAGATATGGGACAACTGTCTAGATACATGTTACCATTTTCTCAGTAATTTAATATAATCCTTTTATCATTATAAATATGCAGAATTCATATGAATAATCAATACTTTCAGGGTATCCACAATAATAATCTCAACTGAGAGTGTTTATAAAAATAATCTGAACTAACAATGGTGCTTACATGGATAACTTTAAGAATTAAAATTAATGTTTGTTTAATACTCTCAACCGCAACCCGCACTTTTCCCTTATCCGCTCTTCTTGTCGAGGTGAAATCAAACTAGCGCTTGTTTAATCTCAACGTCATTTCCATTATATGTGGTTCTTCTTGTCGTATCGTATATTTATTAGAAATTGTGTTTCTCGCGTTTTTCCTTCCCCGTTTATCGTTTCGCGTTTTCGTGCTACTTAGGGGCTAGGGGTTGGGAGTATTAAATGGTATTAATTTGCATTAACCTCATTTTATTTTTGTGAACACCTTTGTTAGTTTTGATTATTCTTAGGAAATTACCCTAAATAGGACTAAAACGTTTGTATATTCCAAAATAGGACTATCATGTTTTTATTTCCAAAATAGGACTAATTACCGCCATGCTTTGACAGTACTAGACTTTAAACTAGGGCTGGCATTTTGAACCGAAAAACCGAAAACCGAACCGAAAATAACCGAACCGTTTTAGAAAAAAACCGAACCGGACCGAACCGAACGAAATTGGGTTCGGTTCGGGTTCGGTTTATGTGCACAAAATATCGGTTCGAACCGAACCGAACCGACATTTTTATATTAATAATAATAATTGTTATTTATAATAATAATAATAATAATTAATGACGAAAAATATAGTAATAATATAAACCCGAGTATGGTTTGAACAAAGATGACGAGTAGCGGAGTTGGTCGTTGTGCTCCTATCCCCAGCAAATGGTCGAGGGATCGATTCCCGTATGCTGTGTATGTTTCGTATTTTTAGAATTTGGCTTCTTTCTTCTTCTATTCTGTCCCACACCGGAAAATGAGCAGCTTACTACTCCAAAAACTTCAATATAAACCAGGTTCCCTTATTGTAGGATGCTAAGATACGTTCTAGACTTCCAATTGGGCTAATGGGGCTCAAATATTGGAAAGTTCCAATGAGCTTTAGTCTACTGAATATTAGTTC